TCAGCCTCAGCCTCCTCAAACTCAGCAAAAGGAGAGTACTCTTATGCCAGAAGTTCAGACTCCACAAACTCGGCAAAATGATTTGCAAAATCAAAGTCAGCCACATGGAAGCACTCCTGATCCTTCATCACATCAGGGAAATCAACATCCTCAATCACCTCAGGCCGATATCATTGGTACGTATCTAATACTCCGAAACCATTGTGATTTTACAGTTCCAAAAACATGCTAAACATGCTATAGGAACAGATATTATTGGTATGGATTTTGATTTCTTGATTCTTTAGTTTTTTCTTCGAACCAGTACCCATTATTTCCTCTGTTGTATTCTTGGCTCCCTCAGTAGTAACATGTTGGATTAGCAGTGCAGAGCTTGGGCCCTTTGACTTTTATCAGCTGGGTATTTCTTCTGATTGGTGGAGTTATGTTTAGCTATGTTCTCTCAGCCTTTGTTATCCCTGTTGGTGTGTTAGTTGCCTTTAGCATCGTGCTGTTGTGTCTGTCATCTTGTTTTTTTAGCTTTGGTTTTTCTTTTTTAGGTGTTATGACAAAGTTAAAATTTGGACTATTTTTCCTGGTACTTTTTTTTGTCTTTGTTGTGGGTTTGTGAAGCAAGGTTTGTTTGATTATTATTATTTTTTTTTTTAATTTTCTGCGGACTTTGTTTGTATTATGAGCTGTTGTGTCATCTTGTTTTTTTAGCTTTGGTTTTTCTTTTTTAGGTGTTATGACAAAGATAAACTTTGGAGTATTTTTTTCTGGTATTTTTGATATAGCTTGTAACAGTTGAAATTTTTTAACTTGGATATGAAAGACCATAATCAAAAGACATGAAGGCCATTAAGATGATAAAAGGCTTATGGACTCAAGTGTCTCTTTTCTTGTTTTCTTTCCTAAGCCCACATCTAGCAAAAACACCCTAAAAACTCCACAAAAAGGCTCTACACTCATTCATTTATGTATTACCAAAATTTCATCTTTCACCAACTAGTCCACGGTCACTTGCCGCATCCTAAACTTGGACTATTTTTCCTGGTACTTTTTTTTGTCTTTGCTGTGGGTTTGTGAAGCAATGTTTGTTTGATTATTATTTTTTTTTTTAATCTTCTGCGGACTTTGTTTGTATTATGAGCTTTGTTATATATATTCATCGTTACTGTTTAAAAAAAAATGTATTTTTTCTCGATTTTTTTTTTCGGTTTTTATCGGTATAAACCGAAATCGAACCGTTGTATCGGTAACGATTTTTCGGTTACCGAATTCTTATCGATTCAGTTTCGATTTGAGTATCAGTGAAATCAAACACGTTCGGTTCGATATCGGTTTCATGGTATCGGATTAGTTACCGAACCGATAACAGCCCTAAGTGAAATAATATTTTTCTTTTACTTTTTCAAAATCACAGCAGACAACTTAAAATATATGAATACGTCTTATAAATCAATATCGTGATAAGTAATAACCATAATGTTAGAATACCACTTGTGAGTTGTCTCACATCGTTTATATAGGGAAAATATGTCTAACTTATAAGCCTAGTAGATTTTACCACCAATTGATTTTAGGATGTAACCTCACTTGAACTTCATTTAAGTTTTTTCCTATTTTAGTGCTTTTCACGTGCGTGAGACCACATCCATTTTCCCTCAATTCTTACATTAACAAAATTCCATCAGAAGGAAAACCATCAACTCCAAATCAGATTTTTCGTTGAATTAAATCCTCGTCTTTGACAGACTTTTTGACTTTCCACCATGAGAATTCTTCAAATTTTCCTCTAAACGTTTTTACACCACTTGATATGATATGCTTTAGGTTATTTTTAATTTATTTGGTTTGACATATATATCGTATATTAAATGGTGCATGAGGTTTTTTGAAAAACTAAAGAATTTTGGTTCATTTAATTTGGGCATTTTTAAACGTTTTAAAAGCGTGGATGTACTCATTTGAGTATTTAAAAAAATATATTAAAAATTATAAATTATTCAATTTAAGAATCACAGTACAATAACATAAATAAAGGATGTTTAAACTGTGCACAAATATAAACATATACATAAGATTCTTAGCTGAAGCAAAATTAAATAAAACTTAATCACGTCTTAGAAAATCTCAATTTTTTTTTTTTTTTAAAGAAACATATTTGAAAAGGACTCATGACGGAGTGCATGTATGAACATGAATGGTCCAAAATGAAATGGTGTGGTTTGTGATTTTGCGTATATGTGGTGGTACCAAAAATAAAATTGAATGAAAATGCAACAGTAACAGACAAATTATACAATTACAAAAGAGAACCTAATCTTGAACGCTTGAGGTGTCAAAGTAGAATTCAAATATCATCTTCTAGATGGTCATATGCGTCCAGTGAGAGCATGTTAATATCACTGTCATCGTTAAGGCATGCGCAGAGCATGTTTTTTCAAAAGGAAAGCGGACACCAGCACTAATTTGTAACTAATTAATGAGGGTTAATAGAAATTAGGATACGCTATATCGAACCAAACATGTCAAAATCTCACTTTTAATTTGCTAGAGTAGAAACGTCCGAGTCTATATATTGGTGTGCTTTAGATTATATATGGTACAATTACAATAAGTTCAATTTACACTAGTTTTTGTCCCGTGCATTTGCACGGAAAACTATATGATACATGAAAAAATAAAAAAAATTATAAACAATAGTAAAAATCATAACAAATTCATTGAAAAAAATTAAGAAAAAAAAATATAAATATTCTTAAACACTTCTTTATAAAACAACGTCGTGGTTTTTTCTATCGTCAAAATCTCACCCAGCTCAAATCAAAATCTTCAAACCCCACGGACTCGTAACTCTAAAAAGCGCCACGTATAATTGCTCATGACTAAATGCAGAGCTCTTCAGTAGTAAGCCGACGTGCGACAGAGACTCTTATTGATATGCCATAGCATAGGAAACACTTCTTTATATTGTTTGTCCTTGACTCTTATTGATTGATAGAGATTGTCCTTGCGTCTTAATAAAAAAAATATCATCTAAATATAAATGAGTAAATATAATATTAATTTTTTATAAAAAAAAAATTAAAGTAATTGATAATGAGTATAGAATTACCCTTGCGGATTCAAGTTATTTCAACGATGTTCTTTTTATATATCTAAGATTTAGTTTTTTTTTTCTGATTTATATGAATATAAGCACATTTGACTAATTTTTATAAAATTTATTGAAATAAGTTATTATTTTTTTCAAAAACTGATAAGATATTAAGATAATACTGTACTTAACATAAATGTGGGATTAATTAAAATAAATCTTTTTAATTTAGTCATTAACTAATTAAATTTAACTATAAAAAACCTTCTTAAATATGAGATTAATGAGTAATTAATTAAAATAATGTAACTTCTTTTGGAGGGAAAGTGAAAATATTTTTATTAAATGTTTTATTAAATGGGATTAGCTAGCAATTATATATATATAGATTTTCTATTATATTAATTTAATTTAATTCCCAAG